GAAGTGACCATTTATTATTGGGGTTTTTTCTTGAGAGACTATTATCAGGCGTGTGGAGTAAGGAAACTTGCCCAAGGTTTCTGGCTTGCGAGTCGAGTGCGCTAACCATTGAGCTACAGGACTCCACAATAATCCACAACACACAATAAATGTACAATTAGATTCATTTTAAAAGTTCATCTTCTAAGAATTACAATAGTAATGTGGATTCTCAAATAGGACAACAGTTTTACACCCCAAAGGGTAACAACATGGAAAAATATTTTTTTATATATAAACACCAGTCACTTTGCGTTTCTTTCAGAGTGAAACTTTCTAACAAGTCAGCTAAGCAGAGCATTCTTGGGGAGTGACCACGCCATGAAGATAGTATGGACTGGGAGGCAATGTGGAAGAGGGAAAGTGAGTAAAAAACAAAAGATGAACAAGCACCTCAGCCTTTTTGAGTTGGACGTTTTTCATTTCCTCACTTGCAATATTCCAGGGCACTGCTGATGACAGCACAGCCAGCCTGGCTCATCGGCAGGACCTGGAATGGCAGGCCAGTCACTGGGGGCAGGGAGTCATCTCCCCCAGCTCCTGTTAACTCTGCAAGCCATAGCCCTAATGGGTAGGACAGTCCTAGTTGGACAAGCAGCAGGAAAGCTTGCCGGACAGCAATATCAATGACAAGCAATGCGGTTTTAGCTGGTTAGACTCCAGCAGTATCCACAAAACACATTCTGGGTCCCCAAGCATTGGCTGCTGCCAATCTGAGCCTAATATTTTCCGGAATTAGGTAAGCAGGATACGTTCCTCCAGGGAAAGCATACACATTCCATTCCAACAATGTATCTCTGGGATTTCCATATGTAGGTGGAATGCATAGAAACCTCAGTTTGGTTTGGATATTCTTAAGCATGGTGATGGGTTTCCGCGTGTGTCAGACAGACCGGCTGATTAAAAACATTTTTTTTTAAATCTCTACACTCAACTTTATTACTTATTCATTTCCTGGTCATTACTTTGCTCACTGAATCATTAATTTAGGTCCCATCTACCTTATGATTTGGGTGGCTGTTAAGAGAGCACCTTCCCTCCTGCTAACTGTTTAAAGTTGGAGAATCTCCCACTGTCCTGGCTCATATTCCCTCCTCATCCCAATTCACCCCAAAAAATCATTTTCAAGTTACACAGCAGCACTCACTTCATACTTAGTTAATCTACAAAGTGCTTTGAGATGTTCCTTTTACATGAAAGGCACTGTGTAATTTTCTGTGTTTTTCTTCCTTCCACCTGAGTTTATGGTTTCTATGGCTGCCCATCACCCTCCAGTAATCTGCCAAATTACTGGAGGTGAAGTCCTGTAGCTCAGCGGTTGGAGCACTAGCCTCGTAAACGAGAGACCTGGGTTCGATTCCTGGCAGGACGAAACCTTGGGCAAGTTTCTTTACTCCACACGCCTGATAATCCCCCGAGAAAAAAAGGAATAATAAATTGGTCACTTCAATCCACGACTGTTTGTGGGTCACTGCTGTGCGCAATTGGCTGTCACATTTCGCCCACAAATACAGTCAAGTCACTTTATAGTATATTCCGTGAAGCGCTTTGAGACGTCTTGAAGACATGTAAAGCGCTATATCAAATGCAAGGATTATTATAAATACTCCTTGGCTCTATTCGGAAAAGACCAATAATTCTGGTATCCCACTTCATATTTTTCCCCTCACCCAAATTCACCAAAGGACAAATCAGTCATTCATCTCACTGAGATGGTCATGGGATATTGTTGATACAGATTGGATATTTTGTTTGCCTATGTAACTACACTTTGACATAACTCATTGTGTGAAGCACTTTTTCAGACATTTCAATGAAATAATTCATTGTATCAAGTGCAAGTGTTAATATTACATGATCATTGTTCAGATGTTAGCCCAATTATGCTAACTGACTACAGGAGAGAAGTCATCCAAGCTAAACCACAATCTTGCCCTCATCCAATGTCCGCATAACCCATCGACACCAGAGACAGATCACTAGCCCTGATTAGGGATTGAGAATCTTGGCTAATTTCCCTATCCCTGGCCACTGAGGTAACGTTGTAGCACCCACAATGTTAGTCTAACTGTCATCAGATAATTCAGCACAGACCAAAATGTAATCTGATGTAATCAGATCTTCCAGATCTTTGACAAACTCACTATGCCTCACCATACATTTTAAAGTAAATTATGCATATTTAAATAAAAATTAATTTGACAGTTACTGACAAACTACTTCTTGAATCAGTAATACAGCAGCAAATGTACAATATTAAAAGTTGTTGAACATAAATTATCAAAGTCAATCAGTAGATGTCTGCACCTTTTATTATTCTTTCCAACGCCAAGTGCTCTTTACCACTTTACAAATACAGGCTTTCTGCAGTACAGGATCGTTTTTTTTCTTTTACAAACTTAAATTTAGATTTTAAAGTTTATGGCTATTTACGGGACACTGTTGTGGGCAATCTGGCTGGAGAATTTTGCCTACAATTCACCCACAAAATATACAGTCAACTGACTTCGCAATATATTCTGTGGAGCAGTTTGAGACATCTCAAATACGTGATAAGGCGCTATATCAAATGCATGGATTATTATTATTAAAATGCAGTCACTACAACTTTACAATAAATCATGTGAAGTGCTTTGCGGCATCCTCCCAATGTGAAAATGCAAGGGTCATTATTAATATTAACTGCAAATATAACTGTAGCCCTCAAAAGGATGGTCGTCCTGAAAAAACACACGGTTTCACATTAATCTGAACCCCAAAAGAGGTGGAGAGAGTGGGTTGAAACCCACTTCCAGTACACAGTGTGGGATTCTTCTCCATACAGCTATCGGAACTAATAAAAAGTACATTCCTTCCGTTTAATATCCCACAACACCGTAGATGTATTTTGTTCCTCATCAGGGGGTCAGATCGCCCTCTCTTCTTACCGAAACCTGCGACACCTTTTGAGCTAACTTGGCGCATCGATTAGAAAATGCTACAAATAAGCTGCAGTTTTGGTGGTCCGCTGGACCAGAGCAAATGATCATTTCACACGGTCCAGAGAGAGAGAGAGAAAAAAAGGTGAAATAAAGACTGCTCGCCTCCAATCCGATCTGGGTAAGTTATCACTGGAAACAGCTGGTACTTGGGATGTGGGAAAGGGGGAGCCTGAGGGGAAAGAAAGCTTCGCAGGGCTTTAGGACCAAGTGGAGATCTCGGTCGGTTTGCTGGTGACACTACACTAAAATAAGATAAGTTTCTGGCTGGTCAGATTTCATGCCGGATCCCACAACTGCTGCAAGTCGACGTGGACACACATTCCTCAATCTCCCCCCCACCCCACACACACACACACACACACACACAAACCGTTAGCCACTGAGAGGCTGCTCGCAACCACAAGTGAGTTTGCTAACTGAGCCTCTCTCTCTCTCTCTCTCTCTCTGCAACATCTACTCCTATCCCCGATCGGTTCCCCCACCAGAATGCAGAGCCTGCGAGAGGGGGGGGGGGGGGGGGGGGGGGAGAGAGAGAGGGGGAGAGGGGGAGAGGGGGTGTGGGGGCAGAGCTTCACCATTGCAATCCCTGCTCGCAGGCAGATAACGGGAAGAAAATTGTGCATCTTGCGTTTTACGTGGCGGATCAGCTAAAGAGAGAGAGAGAGGGGGGGGAACAATCTGTAGGATTTCTCCAAATCCTCTTTGGTTGTTTTCTCCCTTCACCACCACCACACACACCCACACACACACACACCACCCCCCACCCCCCACCCACACACACACACACCCCACCCCCCCACCACACACCCACACACACACACCAACTCCTCCCATGTGTCTCCAGAGTTTTATTCTAAGCCACGTATATTTTCCGGAGATCCAATCCTACGGACACAGCCCATCGTGCAGAATAATGAGTCATTTTTTGGGGGGAATCATAAGTCTTGCTGATACTTTCGCCTCCTTCTGATTCTCGTTTGGATCTCAGGCTGTGTCTGTCTCATGATTAGGAACAGCAAAGCAGCGAAGGCAAATCTGCTCTGAAATAAGACAGAAACTGAAACGAACTCTTTTACACCTTCACGAAACTCGGTTTCACAAGTGACTTCTGTGCCATAACTACTGACTGATCACTGGAGGGGAAAAAATTACATTTTTTTTAAAAAAAAGCCACATTACCAGGTAACTTTTTTTTTTGCATTTTACTATTGCTGAAACACCATGAGCTGCTGGTTCTGAACTGCTTTTATTTATTTCCTGAGATTGGTTTTAAAAAAAAAGTTTAGACCCTGAGTGCCAAAGGGTACAGTTAACACCGTAAAACCTTTGATTTTGATTTGAAGTTATCATTTATTTCATGGACTGAACTTAAAGCAGAAACACTACCGCTGACATCTGCAATTAGAAATGGGTTTTAATCGTGCAAAAGGGACTTGCAAAGAAAAATGCAACCATTAGAAACCACCATCAAAAATGAACAGAAATAATGAAACTTTTTCTCTTCCACCCCCCAAAAAAAATTAATATTTATGCCTTAGCATTCTGAAGGCAGTGTGACTTGACAGCGCACAGATTTAAACCCTCCACCCGAATGCACTGCTGAATTGCGCTGAAGCATTTTAAAACCCACCCCCCAGACAGAAGTCATTGCCTTTTCAAAGCTGCACCCCCTGAAAAACCCCCCTCCCCACCCCCATTTTTTTCTCTCCCTCCTTCCAGTTGAACACGTATGCACTGTTTAAGGAATGAAAGCTCTCATTATTGCAGATGCAGCCAATAACAGGGGCATCAGGCAGTGTGTGTGTGTGTGTGTGTGTGTGTGAAGCACAGACACTCTGCCCCCTCCCCCTTGGAATGGGCACAGACCGCCTGCCACCAGCCCCCAGTAAAACAGACACAGTCCCTATTGCCAGTCGCAATATCTGGGCATTGTACGTGGAGACATAGACAGAGAGTGAGAGAGAGAGAGAGAAACCTTACCCCAATCTGTGTGAAGCTCGTGGAGCTGGATTTTCCCCTCTGTCACAGCCCCCCCTTGTTTCCTTGTGGGTGTTAATACAGTGTTCTCTGTGTGAATAGACAGTAGGAGGGTATATATATATATATATGTAATGTATATATATATATATATATTGTTTCTTTTCTTTTTGGGACCCTGGTTCTACGCTCCGCCACTCTCTGCTCAAAGGAGGAGGAACAGTGTGAGACGAGCCGTAGCCGGAGCTGTGCCGCTGCCCTGGATTCGTGGCACTTATCTCTCTCCCCAGCTGGGAGCTCCCCCCCCCCCCCCCCCACACACCACCAGCCCCGCCCCCCGACACTGCGATTGGCTGCCCTCCAGCAGCCGGCCCGTCGCTCCACACCGCTTTGCCCAATCAGCCGCTCAGCCCCCCCCACCCACCCCTCCGGGTGGGCGGGTGCTGCTCCGCGGTGCATCACGGGACGTGTAGTCGTTCGCCTCCCTCCGCTCGTGGAACGTGGCCCGGATCCCGGCCCGCGCCGCTCCAGCCGCCGGACTCCATTTCCCAGGGATCCCCTCCCCTCCCCCCCTCCCTCCCCTCTGCCCACACTCTCGCCGGGTTTCCATTCCGATCTCTCCAGGTTACAAGGGGAAGGGGAACGGTTGAAAGCAAATACAGTAATAATCCCTTAGCGTTGCACGACAGCGCCTTTCAAACCAGGAGGGCGTCTCGAAGCGCTTTTCATAGGATGTGGCGCCATAAACTGTAGTGACGGTGTACTCTGTGAGCCATGGATGCAGCTAATAATTTGCCCACAGCAATGTCCCACACACACAGCCAAGAAGTGAATGATCATATTTTTCTTAAATTGTGGGGATTGTTGTCCAGTGACAGCAATAGAAACCCCTCTCCAGCTCACCGAGTGTGGATGTTTTGCTTTAAAACAAAATGTATTTTCTTCTTAACCTGGAACTGCGAATAATCATATATATATATATATATATGATATATAAGCAATCGTTAAACTCACAAAACATAGGATTGGAGACCTGACAAGTGTTACCTATTAAAATCACAGTCACTTATTGTTCATATAATAGTGCAACCGTTTTGATGCACAGAGTACGTCACCATTTACAAATAAACGCCGCAGTCTATATTGAAATGGGTTTACAATCTGTGTTCCTCTTACTTATAAATGTCATTCCTAATATTCCATCCATGTTGACAGTTGTGCAGGCGATATAAAAGGGAGATTTTTCAAAGTCACACCTTGAGAAAACTGCGGTGAAGTTGTTTGGAAAGCGCGCTCATTTGTTACTATGCTTAGATGTTTTCAGTTTTCATCTATATGTTTTAAGTTAAGAGTTGTGTATTGTTCAAATACAAATAATGAACCTGGCTGAAATGTATCTACGACTTAATTGAAAAGATACATAATGTTACATGTTTGTACACAGACCGAAATTGCATCTATCTTTCCTGCTTTTAAAGTCAGTCCAAGAATGCAATATCAAAATATTTTCTTGGGTTTAGGATATTTTAAAACATAACAAAATCACTAACACACTCCAGTCTTTCTTCCCTGATTCACCTCTGTTGTACCACACTTTCCTCGTCCCACTCTTACCTGTCCTAAGTCCTCTAATGACTTCTGCCCCTTCACAGCCACTTGTGATGTTCCTCACAACTTTCCTAAGTCCTCTTCTTCTTAACTATATTGTTCTCCTTGGAAACATCATCATGAGGCATGGGGTCCACTTCTATATGTCTGTGGATGCCACCTCATTTTACCTCTCTGCCTCCACACATGATATTCTGTAGCGGAGTCCTGTAGCTCAGTGGTTAGAGCACTCGCTTTGCAAGTGAGAGACCTGAGTTCAATTCCAGGCAGAGCGCGAATACCTTGGGCAAGTTTCCTTACTCCACACAGAGCCTAATAATAATCCCTCCAAAAAAAACCAATAATAAATTGGTCATTTTCAATCTACGACTGTTTGTGGGAAATTGCTGTGCGCAATTGGCTGCCGCGTTCGCCCACAAATATACAGTCAATTCACTTTACAGTATATTCTGTGAAGCGCTTTGGGACGTCTAGAAGACGTGAAAAGCGCTATATCAAATGCAAGGATTATTATTATTATGATCCCAAAACCACCACTGCCCTGGAAGACACCAAGTACTGAATGAGCCTCAGATTTCTACAACTGAATGTTTAACAAAACCAAAGACATGCTGCTTCTCCAACTAGTACCTTCTCACTAGTGGTTCTGAATGTATCAACCTCTGCTCACTCCAGCTCAGCCACTGCGTCCCTGCTCTTTAGAAACCTCCCAAAATGCCCCCACTTCAGATCCTCCTATCTGCCCCTTCAGGTGGATGTTAAAGATCCTATGACACCATTTGAAAAAAAGAGAAAGGCGTTTCTCCAATTCTCTTGGTCAAAAATTCTCTAGATAAAATTGGTCACTCACTTCATGGCAGTCAGTGGGACATCATTCTGTGCAAATTGGCTGCTGTGTTTGCCTACAAATACATAGTCACTGCACCTCACCAGTAAATCCTCTGACATTTAAATCTCTTTGAGACATTTTGGTGAGACTCTATATCAAATGCAAGGAGTATTATTTGCGTGCAATTCTTCAAATCCTTCTTGGTGGGAGGAGTGAGAGGTATCCTTGTGGTTAAGCCGGTGTGAAGGTGACTTGTCGGGCAATGGAACATAGAGTTAATCTTCTATGGTGGACTTGGTAGTCTGGTTCCTGAGCCAGGCAGGTGCACAGCATTCCAGGGCACTGTTGCTGACAGACCAGTCAGCCTAGCTTAGTTGTAAAACTTGGAGGAGTGGGCAGGGATTTTTTCCACTCGGCTTCTGTGAAGCCAACGTCATAGCGGATCCTAGCTGGACAAGCAACAGGAAGCTTGCCAGACAGTGTTTGCAATGGCAAGCTACGAGATTCTAGCTTAGTTTAATTCTTTAAAATTGACCTACTTTAGTTGCCCAGCTGGTTAGCAATTATCAGTATGCCAAAATTCACCCCACATCTTTTGTTTCAGAAGGAAAAGCTTTTTATTCAGAGGTTGCAAATTGTAGACCTGCACCCTAGGTATAGGGCAAGTTTGGGTGTACTGATAATTGCTGAAGAGCCAGGTAACTAAAGCAGGTCAATTTTTAAAAAATTAAACTAAGCTGAAATTGTATACAAAATACACAGTAAATAATAAAGGGCTATATCAAAGGCAAGGATTGTTATTATTATTATCATTGTACCCAAGTACATACTGTATTTTGTTTTGAATTAATCTGATGCAGTTCAGTTCAAACCTTTGGATTATGATTGGATTTGTTATTCATTCCTGCCCTCTGGTACTAAAACTCAGATACTAAAACTCAGGTACTAAAACTTCCACCCATCCCCCACCCCTTCCCTCCCACACTCCGACTACTACCCATCCTCCCCTACACACCTTCGAACCCGTTTCCCCAATCAAGACAACATCAGCAAACTCTTATTCTGTCTTTCACTTTATGGCATGAAGACAAGCAAGATTTGGGCAGCTATTGTATTGCAGTGGACATTTTTTTCTGCAGATAGTATACAAATGTAATATTGTATTGTATTCTCTAGTAAAACACTAAATTACAGTATTCATGAAATACTTATGCGTGTTGACGCTCCATGTGATAAATATTATTTGATTGGTTACAATGATTACCTTGTAGCAAAATAAAACGGTGCAATTGTCCACGTAGTCTTTCCTTTTACCTACTGCGTGTTCCTCTGCTTATGTTTGCCCTTTCCTCTTCTGCAGCTCTTGACTCCTTGGAGGGATAGAAGTGCATGGGCTCTGCGTGCCCTCAGTTACCTCACCGAAGTAATCATTATTCAAGTGGGAGCTCACTCAGTAGAATTCTGTAATTCCATCTTCTCTTAGCCTGTAACAATATTTTGTCTTAATTTTAAAATCATGTCAATTGTGGAAAATTCTTCAATTCAATCTTACTTTGGGAGCTGTTTTTCTGGGAACTCTGCCTCTGTAAACACCCATCCTTTGCCAGGCTCTGCTCAAGCACTCTGAGACGCCATCCTGGGTGAAGGGCACTATATAAATGCAAGTTATCGTTGCTGTTGTTTTTCCTATTTCATGTACTTTAAGATTCTTGTTTTAACTTTCCAATGCTCCATGCCCGTACTCTACCCTATCTCTCACCTTCACCAACTCGGCTAGTTCAAGCTGCTTCATACTCCCAGTCCCCCGCACCCCCACCTCTCCATTGAGTGTTCAGCCCCCAGCTACCAATCTCTATAACCTCTCCCTAAATTTGTGTGCAATGCACCCTCCCTCTTTGTTTATAACCCCCTTCTAAAAACCTTCCTATTTGATTATAAGTTCGATCACCTCCCTCCTATCCCTTTCTCCAACCCCGATTGGGCTCCCATTCCGTATCTGTGCAGGGATTTGAGGCATTTTCCTACCTGAAAGGAACAATGCAAATCCAAGTCGTTCTTGCTGTATAGCACCGAGTGGCGCCCCAATCAACTCATGCTGGTATTGAATCAGGGACCTCTTTGTGGTCTGTATATCTCAGTTGTATATCTGGAGTCCTGTAGCTCAGTGGTTAGAGCACTCGCTTTGCAAGTGAGAGACCTGAGTTCAATTCCAGACAGGGTGAAACCTTGGGCAAGTTTCCTTACTCCACACGCCTAATAATAATCCCTCCAAATCCAAAAACAATAATAAATTGGTCATTTTCAATCTACGACTGTTTGTGGGACATTGCTGTGCGCAATTGGGCTGCCGCGTTCGCCCACAAATATACAGTCAATTCACTTTACAGTGTGTTCTGTGAAGTGCTTTGGGACGTCCTCCCGACGTGAAAAGCGCTACATCAAATGCAAGGATTATTATTATTATTGTTCACTGAATAAACTTATTGAATCATGGGCAATCTGCTAGTGTAGTTTCAATCTCTCACCCATTCTGCTGTGCATTTTTCCCCTTTTACTTCTCCACTACCACTGGCAAATAAAGGTGACAGTGTTTTAATCACTGCCATTTGTAGTTTATAAATTGTGCTGATGTCAAAGAAGTGGATACGATTGTCCCCTTTGCCAGATTCATAGCTTTAATTTCTAATTAAACAAAACCATAACCAACAGAGACCATTTTAAAGCAGGCTCTAATGCACACAAATTTACTATATTTCAGGGCTTTGGTAGCAATATATTACCCCAAGGATTAACCCAAGGATAATTATAAAGAGAGAATTTGATTAATGGGAAGATAGGT